CTGTGATTACCTACTCTGATTATACACAATCTCTTCTTTCTTAAAACTCAGTGTAACTTTACAAAGATCTTACAGAAATTAGGTTAACATGATATTTAGAATGAGATTTAGGCTTGAGTCATACTGATCTAGGCTTTTTAAACCTGAAAATGAATCTCACGTTACAATATGAGACTATTACTTTAACTGAAACTGTTAAAACAGAAAACTCATTGTGAACAGAAGCGGCATCTGATTTTTATACTATCATACTTTACAGTGCCTACCAGTGTCTTTCACACTATAAGCAGTCCTATTTTGTCAAGATGTACTGAACTGAAACCTGAAGAAGAGATGGAGATGCCCTGACATGACCTTGCAGAAGCATGCTGCACTCATAAATGTTTTTTTTTTTTCTTAATAAATTGGCAGAAATCAGAGTATATGTGGGTCCCTTTGCCTGATGTTCTCAATCATCCTAGAGAGAAGTAGGTATGTTTTTCTGCTAAGATGGCTGTGGAGTTATAAAAATATACTTAAAGAGAAGAAGACCTGGAACAACAACTTGAGGTCCTACGCTATGTTTCAACAAAGAATAAATAAATAAATAAAAAAGAAAACTACAGATTGACAAGCAGCAGCAAAGAGGCCTGCTAAATTGAACTACATGAATCTATAATAGTCCAGGCACAAGACACTCTCGATCATACAAATGAAGTGTTGGGCTTATTATAAATACAAGGGGAAGAAATTCTTTATTAGAAACAAACTAATTTCCTATGTATCTCTGGGATTTCATAACATTCAAATTATATTTGTTCCTACCATTAGAATAATTATCCACAATAGAGCAATCGATCAAGTTTTCTCAATTGAGGCTATAATGATTTATTGCTTGATTATAAATTATAATTTAAAAAGAGATTTTTAAAGTACCATCACATTGCCAAAAGTACATTTTTATTTTTAAGTTTATGAGTGTGATATGGACATATTCAATTAAGTCATGTGTTATAGTCTTGGAATTAAACAGAAGCACACTCTTCCCTCACAGTCTTAAGATGTAATGGCACACACTTGGTTGTAGGCAAGAGCCACTACAGGGGAAGGGGAAATCAGACTCAAGTCAAAATTATTTTATAAGCTTCTTCTCCTAATTTTTTTCCAGCATTTTCTCACTATGGCTTATCTTCTTTTTTACTTATACTTCTGATTTTTAAATTTTCATTACAGTTTTATCCTGAAACTGTTAAAACTGTTTCCTTGTATTTTGATATTTTTGGTTATTAATTTTTGTAATGTTTTCCAATATATATACATATGTGTGTGTGTGTGATACGTTACACACACATGCATATGCATATGTTGTAGCATGACTTTTGAGTTTAGAAAAACCTAACTCTCCCACATATCAATTTGAAAGCAGAGTAATATTTAAAATAGCTGACTCAGTTTCCTTATCTGTTAAATAGAGGAAATAATACTGCTCTGGGTTTGTTGTGAGCCTTTAAATATACTGAAAGGGTAACAGAATTCCTGGTATATTAGATATAGGGTATATGAGAGAGACACCAATGATCATACCAAGTGTTTTGACCTAAGCAACTGAAGTAATAGGACAGGCATCAACTAATGGAGGACTCATAATTGTAGGGAAAGATTCAGTTTTATTTTGAACCTGTTAAGGTTAAGATTTCTGGTGGATCTTCTTTTGGTTATCTATTGCTTCTAGCAAACCCCTCCAAATTTAAAGACTTAAAACAACAGTAACTTACTTCTGCATTTGCAATTTGATAAGAGCTCAATAGGAACCATTCATTCCTTCTTCACATCCACTGTGGTGCCACCAAGGTGGAAGGTAACATAATAGCTAGGCACTGGAATCATTTAGATTCACTCACTCAACATATCTAGCAATTGGTACTGGCTCTCAGCTGGGACCTTAGCTAGGGTTGTTAGCCGGCACACCTACACTGGCCCCTTCATGGTGTACCTTGGCTTCCTCACAGCAGAGTGGGTGGTTTTTAAGAATGTCCTAAGATAACCATGTAGAAGTTTTCTTCTCTCTTATGATATAGCCTCAGATTTTACATAGTATCACTTCCATAATAGTCAGAGATCCACCCAAATTCAACCATATGGAAAAAATGCTCCACTTCTCTGTTTGGAAGTGTCAATATCACATTTTAAGGAGAGCATGTGAAATGGCAGATATTATTGTAATCATCTTGGAAAATAAAATCTGCCACAGATCTGTTTGAAGAAGTAGTCCGTAACATAAAAATCTAGAGTTTAGAGTGAGGTGGGTCTTGCTTTCAACATTTTACAGTCTTTAACATTTAGGTGGGATGAGACTACTGAAGAGAGAATGACACCAAGGACTGAGCCCTGAGGAACTCCAAAATCAAGGTGTCAAAGAGAAGATGAACTAAGAAAGGTGAGCGTGTTGGAATGACTACTGAAATGGGAAAATCAAGAGAATTGGTTTCCTTCTTCCTCATAATGTCTCTTTGAAATTCATTGAAATTAACTTCCTCAAGATCTGTCCTAGTAATAGAAACTGAGTTTGCTGAGAAACTGAGTTTGTTGTACATATTGTTAGGTCTGGGACCTCATGCAAGCTCATCACCCCATGTGATGAGACATAACTTGTTAAGTATGTCAAAATAATATTTTCCCTCTGTCTATTGACTGATCTAAGGATGGGCATGTAATCTATTTCTGATCAAGGGATAACAAAGGAATTGACATAAAGATGTTTTTCTATCCAAATATGATCCAGCAAGGAAAAGCTGTTTTTATCCTCTCCCTTTTCTTTTTAAGTGTAAACAAACTCCTTGATGATATATCAAGCATGTTGCAACAGTGAGACCAAGACATGAAGTCTAAGACAGAATATAATGTAGTAAAGATAACAGTTGGAAAAAAAATAGAAAAACTCCAAAAATTTACAATCAAAATTTTTGCATCCAAGAGCATTCTTAACCAATGCAAGTTTTTTAATTTTTACAACATAATCTTAGCCAGAAGTGTGACAAATTGCAGGTGTTATATCACTTTCCTATATTAATCTTCTTTGTTTCCTTTTTCACTGTACTAATACAATGACTTAATTTTATAACATTTGTCAAGAAACTGAAGCAAATGAAGATATTGGAAAAACAACAAACAAGCTATAATAAATAAGAAAGTTTGTAGACTTTCACAAGAGCCAATTTGATGTTTTACATAGATTGACTTCATTCTAAATCAGCATCATGTTATCTAATACACCATGGTTCACTTGCCCATCCCTCCAGAAAGAAGAGGAGTTCTATTAACATAAAAACATCCACCCTTTAAAAACCAACAAAAACCTCAGAAGTCAAATCATACTAGCAATGAAAGAAACACAGTGGTGGCAAGTTATATAAAGTTTTATAATAAGACGACTTCAATATCACTGCTTAAAAGAAAAACAGTTATCAGGCTGCATCTTATTTTTTACCAGCCACTGTACTAAACACTGGGGATAGAGAAATAAACCAAATGCGCATGACTATTCTCCTCATAGCACAGTGAAGAATGGAGACATCATCCAGTCCAGAGAAAAAAAAACAGAGCTACTAAGCAAATAAATATAAGTAAATAAGCAAATATTAGTGCATGGATTTAGAAAAAAATGAAAGTAATCAAAGTACTAGGTACTTTGGTGTCACAGAATAGAACAATCTAATCTGTTTACAAAGCCAGGGAAGGATAAACAAAATTTAGCAAAGTAAAAATAGGAAGGAAAACACTGCCGATAAAGGAAAGAGGTTGTTCAAAGGGTAGGAATAGGAAAGAACAGGAAGTATCTGAAAATATTTTTTAAAACTACGTAGTCCAACAGAGACTGACTGAGATATCATAAAGTAGTAGTAGCAGGACTATGAGCCTGAGTCTTTACATAAGGCCTGATTCAGAAGGATCACAACAGAGGTGCCTGGTGGCTCAGCTGGCTGAGCATCTGACTCTTGACTGCTGCTCAGTTCGTGATCTCAGGGTCCTGATCTCAAGGCCGTGAGATTGTGCCCCGAATCGATCCCTGACCCCTGTACCAGAACCTCACATGGGTCTCCTCACTCAGCACAGAGTCTGCTTGTCCCTCTCCCTCTGCTCCTGGCCCACCTGCTCATGCTCTAAAATAAATAAATAAATAAATAAATAAATAACAAGTAAATAAATAAGATACTAAAAAAAACGAAAGAAGGATCACAACAGAAATTTGGGCTTTACACAGAAGTCAATGAGGATCCCTCAAAAGGATTTAAGCAAGATTTATATTAAAGGAAAAAAATTCACTGTAACCTTTAATGATGTTAGGAGATGAACTGGGAAATTATTGCAGTGTTGTATGTGTAAGATAAGGACAGATTTAATTAAAGTGGGAGTTGCAAAGATGGAGAGTAGTAGATTGATAATATTTAGAAAAGAAATATTAATAGAACTTGATGGCAGATTGAATTCATTTTAATTTTAGATATGCAAAGTTTGAGCATCTATGAAACATCTCAATGGAAAAATGGAGATGTCAAAAAGGCAGGTAAACATATTTATCTGGAACTCAAGTGGAAAAAATACAAAGCTTGGGATGAACATGTTGTCTTAGCAATCATAGACTTATAAATGAAAATTGAAGCTTTAGAAATATTGAAGAATGAGGATGGATATTAATCACTCATCAAGTAAGTGAATACCCATTTTGTAAACAGTGGTAGGGTAGAACTTTAAATTGAGAATCCAGAAACATGTTGGTATACTTACTTGGATTTACACATCCATTAAAGAACTGTGTAATAAATATGACCTCATCAAATATATTCTAAAATATACATCACAGAGTTGAAAATAAACTTTTCTTTTTTTGCTCAGGTAAAATACTGAGTTTCATTTCAAATACTATGAGTAAAAATAAATATTAATATGAACATCTGGATTTTTTAAATGAAACTTAAGAAAACTCACTTAAAACTCAAGACATATGTAAAGCTTAAAATTACCCTTTCTCTGGGTGCACAGCTATAGATCTTGGTTGATCCAGGCCTTGGGAAATAATTACATAACGGAAAGAGCCATTGAGTCTTGCAACTTCAATTAAGTTGAAACCATGATCTGTCCAATATATGTTACCTAGGAGAAACACAGGTGTGTTTATAATATGGTTGTAAGAAAGAAAAGTATTTATTATTTATGGCTAAAATTAACTTTCTAAGCATTTGCATACCTATCAAGAAATCATATATTCCTATTTTTTAATGTGTACATTTCCTAAGCAGAAAGTTGTAAATAAACTAATATGCAAACACTTCCCAATCTCATGCATCTGTGGTTTAAACTATATAATGATATATTTATATGCTAAAAATAAGTTGAAACTTCTCTCACCTAAAGAAGGGATCTATTTTAACTTTCTACTGACTTCAGGCAAAAGAGAACTTCTAACACATTTGTTTACCTGCCTCACAGTTCCCAGGAGATTTGGGCTAAGTTAACACTACATAATCTACTTCTGCATAAAAACACTTGTCTAAAGACTCAAAAGCATTAGAAAGAATGAAGCCAAGAGCAAAAAGACTATTTATCCCCGTGGCTAGGAGTACAAAAAAAATTATTGTGAGTTGGAAACAGAATTTTTATGAAGGAGATTGAGATCCTAACAGAATAGGTAGGAAATGAGAATAGAAAAAGCCATGGATTATACCAGCAATCCAGTCAATAGCTATCCCCTCCACTCTTCCCAAGCCATTGGTAATGATATCTTCTTTCCAAGTCTGATCTCTTTTAGCTCGGCTAATTTTATTGAAGCCCATGTCTGTCCAGTAGATGGTATCATTTTCTATGGGTAAGACAGAAAGAAAAAAAAGCAAAAAAATACACATACACTATAAAAGATATCAATGTATGTATCAGGATCACATTGTATTAGTATTTTGGGGGTTATCATCCTGGGTCTACTAGGGTATAGATATTCTTCAGGACAATTTACTAACACAAATAGCAAGAAAGATATTAAAACAACATGAAAGAACCTAATCAAATGGTTTTTTAAAAGTACTTTTGAAATATATGTGGAAATGACCTATCACATCCTTGATTGTTTTTTCTCCATTTTTCTACTCATTTAACTAAAAAAATACTTATCTCACATTATTTTGCAACCCTGATGTCAAACCATGCTATTTTGGACCACGGTTTTTCCCTTCACACCTATACCTGTGTCTGAGTTCTCTAAATATAAAAAGAATGCTACTGGAGGTAATCAACAAAGTCTTAAAGTAGAGAGAGAATGGAAAGAAACATAAGGGCATTTCAACTATATCAAGAGTGTTTTAAGCATAAGGTCATTCAAAATGTATAAAGTCTTAAAAATGCCCTAGCATTCAATTATTCCTTCTGAGGTACTAGTTTCCCAAATGTCAAGTACAAACCCCTTACATTATTTTTCAAACTCTGATTGTACAAATGGGCTTAAGAATACTTGAAAAATGGCTCTATGATATTGCAGAGTCTTTAAATAACAGTGCTTTCTGAATATTTGAATGAAAAATGTGTCTAAAGATTCTAAATGAAATATATTATATGTGCATGCATATGCATAAAGGGTAGCGTTTATAGACCAATGATTTTAAATATAGCCACCAGAAAGACACTGGGGACAAATCATTAAATAATAAATTTGCCACCAACTAAGTAAGTTTTTGTGTTGTGACCTACGTGGCCATTTGAAGAACAAATCCTTTAAGACCAATATAATTTCCCTCTGGCACAGTGACAGACTATGGAAATAAAGAAAAAATAATTAGTATAATAAAGCCATTTATCAGTAAGCTTTGAGATTCCATTTCAAGTATAATATAGTCTAAATTCTTTTGCCTAATTGGAAAAAGGTTCCAAATCCCCTTGTTCTCAAGAATGGTAAGTCAAATATATAATTGTTTGAAGCAGAGAAGATACCATTTTCAAATATTTATCTGGGAAGCAAGAACTTGTTTGGTTTTTCCAATTTTATTAAAGTATTAGTTAACATTTGAAAGAGTGAATCAGTGAACAATAAACATTTATTTTTGCATCAATACTAAGCCTTATGTCAAATCCAAATTCTCTTCTGCAAATGTTAGACCCATATATTTAACTGCCTTTTTTGTATCTCCACTTTTATGTAGAGTAGACAATCTTGGTATACAAAAGACAAATTCTGGATTTCTACATGAAACACTCTTCCCTTGTAGTCTTTCACACTGCAACTCCATAAGCCATGATGGTATGATGGATGATATTTCCATCCTGTTTCTTGGGCTAAAAACCTCATACTATCCTTGAATACTTTTTCTCAAACTTCACATCTAATCCATCACCCATATATTGTAGTGTTTAATCTATTACAAAGTATTTTTGGTTCTTTTAATTCTTTCAAATCATATCCATCATCTAACTACTTTTCACATTCTCTACTACTTACAGTGCAATCCAAACTACTATTAACTCTTGCCTGAAGCACAGTTGGCTTTTGAACAACCCAAATTTGAACTGTGTAGGCCCATCATACATGGTTTTATTTCATTTTTTTTAAAGATTTTATTTATTTACTTGACAGACAGAGATCACAAGTAGACAGAGAGGCAGGAGAGAGAGGGGGAAGTAGGCTCCCTGCTGAGCAGAGAGCCCAACGTGGGGCTCAATCCCAGGACCATGAGATCATGACCTGAGCCGAAGGCAGAGGCTTAACCCACTGGACCACCCATGCCCCCACGTTTTTTTTTTTTTTTTCCGCAGTAAATATACTGAACAATATTTATATAGTCACAGACAGACATTTTATCCTGTAGGCAGATGATGTAAATTTACAGCATCAATAAACTCAATAAAGTACTTTAAATATATTTCTCTAATGATTTTGTTAGTAACATTTTATCTAGCTTGCTTTATTCTAAGTATACAATATATAATACATAGAACATACATACAAAATATGTGTTAAGCAACTGTTTAAGTTATTGTAAGTCTTCTAGTCAACAGTAGGTTCTTAGAGGTTAAGTTTTGGGGGAGTCAAAAGTTATATGCAGATTTTCAACTGCATAGGGGTCAGTTCCTTTAATCCCCACATTGTCCAAGGTCAACTATATTGAAAATAGCTTTCTAACTTTTTGCCCAGCTTCATTTCTGCCTCAGTACTCCCCTTTCCTCCCTAGTCCTTTCTTTACTTAGGGGCCATTGTTACCCTTTTAAAAAGTAAACAAGATCATTTCTCCCCTCTCCACTCAAACTCTCTAATCATTTGTCATTTCATCCAAGGTATAATTAAAGTTTCTTTCCATTACCTTCATAATCTACCCATATCCTTCAACCTTCTCTCACTTGACATCCTTCCATTCTCGCCCTCACTCATTATCTCTGGTAACAGACTTTTTCTTCCTAACAGAAACCAAATACTATCAGTCTAAGTTCTTTACATTAATCCTATTTAGGAGCTCTTTCCTCAGATATCTGCATACCTCTGTCTTAGCTCAAATATCCCTTCCTTCTTACTGAAACTTTCTCTGACTACCTGTAAAAAATTATTTCCTTGACATGCTCTACCCACCTCATCAAACCTATTTTTGCCCATAGCATTTATTACTGTCAAACCCTGTGAGGATCAAGACTTTACTTTGTTCACTGCTTTATCCCTGGCACCTAGAAAAATAATATCTGACATGCAGTAAGCTCAAAGTAAACATTTGTTGAATAATGAATGAATGTGATGTGCTGTACAAAGACTGGCTGAAGGAGATATGGGGAAGACACAGAGTTTATCATGAGAAACTTTATAAGCTCAATGAGAAGAAAGTATGCATTTGAAAAAAAAATGACTAACAATTCACAATACTGGAGCATGAGCAGCATACACATATTACAGGCAAGTAATCTTGCAAAAGTTCAAAGAAAATATTCACAACAATCTTCACAAGTAATAGGAAGAAATACCCTATTTTATATGGGAATCTTACTTTTGAATTACCCTCTAATAACTCTGCCAGGCTGCAAACTGCTGTTTCATATAACCAAGAAACATTCTTCTTCACAAACTACAGTTCGCATATACTTTTATTATTATATTGAGCTGAAATCGGGGCTTTACATTTTTTTTTTTTTTTCTTAGAAACAGACCATGAGGAGGTTGTCTGGGTGGCTCAGTTGGTTAGTGTCCAACTCTTGATTTCGACTCAGGTCATGATCTCAGGATCCTGGGATTGAGTGCCACTTTGGGCTGTACACTCAGCTTGGAGGCTGCTTGGAATTCTTTCTCCCTCTCCCTTTACCCCTCCCCCCACTAGTGCTCATTCTCTCTGAATAAATAAGTAAACAAACTCTTAAAAAAAATAAAAAAACAGACTCTGAGATAATTCATAGGTAGGGATTGCAACTGACCCAACTTTTACCAATGTAGTCACATGCGCTATAGATAGTTCATGAATATTCATTTCGTGGGTAATAGATTAATTTATAACACTGAGGTTATCTCTAAATGGCCAAGTCCACTAGGTCAAAGCACTGAGGAACTGAAAAGTTTCCTTGTATTATTTCTATTAGATATTTTGGGAAATTAGTGAGCAAATCAATCTTGTGGTGAAACAGTAAAGAGGACTTAAACAACAGAATTAAATCAGTCATTCATATCCAAATCTCTTTCTTATCAATTCTTTCATATACGTATTCAGACCTATACATGTTATGTTGAGTAAGTTGACTAATACATAAGAATATGTTTTCTTAAAAAAATGTATTTTCTAATATCTGGGAATATCTGCAAAATAAATTATCTCAGGACTGTCTTAATTAAGAATAAAATCAGACTGAAAGATGATAAAATTTTACAACAAATGGTGAAGATACAAAATGGAAATACATATAAATATAGAAAGGGAAGAAAAGACTATCATAACTGTGTCCTGATACTTACTCCAAAACATATTTTTTAACTTTAATTATCCTTATTCAACACATTCTTATAGAATATTTGTGTGTGTTAAACATTATTATAGGCTTAGGAGTTTAGTGGCAAACATGATAGACAGTCCTTATAATCACAGAGTTCACTTCTGGAATTAAATTAAAAATAAACTGTCTTGAGACATATGGTAATTGGTAATATATAAAATAATCATAGGATTGGAAAATAGAATTTGTAATTTAAGGTAATAACAATTATAATTAGCTCCCCACAGATATAATAAGACACATAGGATATTGGTAACTATTTTCAAGGATTACATAGATTGGAGGCCAGCTATTGTGCATTGTAACTACAGTCAGAATTAAAAGAAAAACTGCATACGGTTATAAGGATATTAGTCTGTAAAATAAGGGAGAAGCTTATTGATGCTCAGAAAAGTTAAACTTTTTGAGTTAAGCTGAAGTGCTGACCATCTACAGAACTAGATTATGCACAGTCCTGTATGAAAATAGGAAACAAGAAATATAAATTTCTTAAAGGCCTTTCACTCCTATTTTTATTATGTTTATACTAATATATAATAACATATATTAGTATATAAGAATTTTATTTTATTATAAAATAATCTATTATTATAAATAATTTATTATAGAATAAAATTTTATATTTATATAAATTATATAATTTTATTATCTATTTTTATGATTAATGAACACTTATTATTTATTGTGAATACACTTGTCTCCATGTTAGCTTGGGTCGTTGGATCCTTTCTAGAAAATTCAAAGTCTTGTTTCCCCACCTAAACTGAGATACTATTTCAGAAAACACCATACCAAAATAAAAATTAAGAAAAAAAAGATAAAATACGATGTATAAGATTACCATGCTTCCCTCTCCTA